GGCTGGGCTGATCCCACTTTCATTGTAGGGATGTGGAAACACCACCTATGTGCACTGAACCATTAATTAATGTGTCTCACAACTGGGAGTTCTCACAAATTGGAGGACACCATAGAGAGGAATCACTTCTGTGGAAGTCATTGCACACAATGTTATGCATGCAATAACATCGGACCGGCAGTGGGACACAAGCCCAAAAATGAGGAATCAGCAATTCTTCATAGCAGGAATGAAAATCCTCAAGTTCTGGGTCTGGGATTAGCTCTACACCATTCTACGCGTAGCAAGGGTGAAGTAGAACAAGTTTGGGTACTCCGTGGATTACCAACGACATTCTTCGTGCCAAATTGCAAATGCTGTCATCAAGCAAATGAAATCAGCACATGGTGTATATGTACCTCCATCTCTCCAGAAACAGATTTATTTTTTGCCATTGACAATTGTGATTTTGATACCCCAGACGGGAAGAATACACTTCTGGCAACTCCAACAGCTGTGTATCAGCAGGAATACCCCAATGACCCACCTGCCACATACCTCAAGATTGATGCCACTGATGATGACCCTATCACTACCAAACTAGAACCTTGTAGCATGAAGGGCAATGCTAAGCCAAAATACTCTTGCCGGTATGAGAACTTCAAGCCGTTACATAACACACATGTGCTTGCTGAGTGCCATACAGAGGATATTGCATGGCTGATGACAAAAACACCAAGAGTTGCACTGATCCATAAAGACCAAGACGCAATTATTGATACTCGTGAACAAACACCTTCAGCACAGAATGAAATGAATTGCAAGACAGCTGCCACTTGGTCTAGTTACAACTCCCTCTGTTCTACTAATTCAAAGACATGTACAACAGTTAGTACATTGCCATTACTTGTTGCTCCTGCACACGAATGACAGACAATGATCACAGTTCTGAAGCAAGCACAGAAGATCAATGTTAAAGTCATGGGCCCAGAACGGTAAAACTGTTATAACATTTCACAGGGCTCTGTACGAGAAGGCCCGGATATTGGAACTTCTTCATCCTGAATACAATAACCAGTTTATTTTTCGCATTGGAGAATTTCATACAGTTTTCTGTTCATTGCATGCACTTGGAGCATCAGTAGAAAGTAGCGGCATAGACAATGCGTGAATTGCTGCCGATATCTATAGTCCAACCACAGCACGCCAAATCCTGGAGGGTAAACGTATGAAGTGGGCTATACATGCACACATGACTACATTACTTGTCCTTTTTAAGTTGTTCTCAGTAATTTTCTTTAAGGAAAACCCTGATCTCCTTGAAGCCAGTGACCAAAGTATTGACTACACCAGTGCTGCTTCTTCAGCTGCAGTAACTTGCCAGGACTGTGCACATGACGTTTTATTGAAGCATACCGACTTAGTTGCATCAATGAATCAGTGCAGCATACCACAGAAAATGGAAGAATTTGACAAACAACTGAAGTCGCCGTCTTCAAAGGTAGCGCGAATGCTACTTGGATGCTGTTTTGATCATTTTACTCTTCATCCGGGCTACCAGTCAAGAATTGTGGAGCCTTCATCTTTCTTCCCTTGAAAAGCTGTCTGCCTTTCTTTACACGTGACAGGATAAAGTATGCGCAGGTAGTTCCGGTGGTAGCCTGAAAGAGTCAGATCCTGAAATATGGATTGAATTGGAGAAAGGCAACTTTTGTGTAAACAAGTCAGAAGTGCCATTCTGCAGCATTGGCTATAAAACACATCGATCGCATGATGAAGGTTAAAGACGATCTTAGCAGTATAACACTCAAGCAAACAGCTCTGGCAAGATTCTTCTTAGCAGCACCTGAATTGACACTTCTAACACAAAAAGTACACGCGATGGCAGATATTACGTATACCTCCTGGAAAAGAATAACATACCACGAGCTATCTCCAGCACTGGTAAAGCGTCAAGTGTGTGATGTACAGAAACTGCAAGCTATTGTTGAAGAAAATGACCCTTTCGCTCAGGACAATGATACCCTACTAAACATCGTCACACATGCAGGTATGCCACAGGATGTCAAACAGGACATCCTAAGAGCTGATAAACCTGGCAAGAAACAATACATTGATTTTGTGGAGAAACGTGTGATTGGTACAGTTATCCTCTGGGAAAAGATGACCAAATTGAATCTTCGTTCTTTGAAAACAGCATGAAGAACCTTGAAATTTAAAGGACCGTCACAAGTACATGAGCTGAAGCAGAATCGATCACATTTTGCTTGACTGCTGGAAATGTGTGGCTGTGAGGCGGACATGGAAAGGTGTGAAAACGTTTCACACGAAATTGTCCTGGAAGGTGATGAATCTGATGAAAATGTGGACAGTGATTCATAAATAATGCAAGTTGCTTGACGATGTTAATCCTTCTGAAAGTTAAAATATATATACTAGTACACATTATATGATTATGTCATATTTTATGTGTCCAAACTGAAATTAGAAGCATATTAAATGGTTATTTCTACATCATTCATCATAACCTACCATTTGATATGCTACATGACTAGTAAATTGTGATAAGTTTATGAAAATATATTTGTCTCGAATTGGAGTCGCAAGAAATTTTTAAACTCCTATTCAGTCTCTCCAAAATGACACTTATAGCAAACAGAAAAAATGGTACCACGTTTTTTTCTGAATCCACATACAATAGTGATTACAATTAGTTTGGTTTCAACAATTAGCATGTAATACTCACGGAATTACACAAGCCCCTGCACCACACACGTGTTCTGAATATCTTTATGAACTGTTATTTGTTAACAGTTATCCAATGAGTGTTGTGTAACCAAACAAGGTCATTCAACGATAGTGACGTCATAATGCCGAACCTCCTGTTGTTACCTCGATAGTTTTAATTAACATTATGACTCCCATTCATGACCAACTCGCGTTATTCTGTGACAAGCCGAATAGCGACTCGTGCCCCTCTTGAAGTATTTCATACTGGCGTATGAACATCTGAACTACTTTAAACAAGAACCATAACTCTATTCCTGTTTGATTCCAATTGTACTTAATATCAGCGAAGCCCTCGTATATTGTAATTCTATATATTTGTTCGTTTTTATTCATTTGTCTATTTTAAAGGATTAAACCTCTAAAACAGCTACAACTAAAAGAGGGGGGAAATATTTGTTAAACACACATTCTAACGTAATTACTACCTGCTGTTCACCTTATATTTCCAAATATAAAATTTCAAATAGGGTTTAAGAATCACAAGTGGTATTTGTGTTACTGAATATGCAAATATAATAATCTTTTTGTCAGCTACATTCAATCCCAAAGCAGATACTCGAAAAATACTTTGAAGTGTTTCTGAAACTGAACATTCGTGTAACCTTGCTGGCATACCTCTGTTGGAATTTTTAAAATAAATACGCTGATAAAATATGAAGGACCCCCTAAATGTCAGACTAAGCAATGACTATCCCTAGAGATCTTAAATGTAAGACCAGTGTTTAAGATAAGTTGATTAGTGGATTTATATGTATACGATAATATTTTTTTGAAACTCGTAGCGGTTTATAACAAGTGTTTGCCACTGATATGGCAATGTCCCCCGCCGCTAAAGAATGGAATATCTATATTTACTATTTTTCATTTTTTTGGGTCACACACACGATGCCTGAAATGACTGGTGTCTGCATAATCACCCAATGTAGGCTGTCAACATAATTGAAAACATTGGCTGCAATGTTTTATGAGATATCGCGTTTAAATAAGTTTGAAATGTGGTCAAAGTGTTGTGGTGACCTTGAAAATAAGGTCAAGGTCACGCACAACGACTGGTGTCTGAGTAATCCCCCAATTTAGGCTGACACTAAATTTGAAGACTTTGGGTACAACAGTTCATGAGATATCGCGTGAACAAGAGTTGGAAAAATGGTCAAAGTGTCGTGGTGACCTTGAAAATAAGGTCAATGTCACGCAAATCGACTGGTGTCTGCGTAATCCCGCAATGTAGTGTCTGCGTAATCCCGCAATGTAGGCTGACACTAAATTTGAAGACATTGGGTACAACAGTTCATGACATATCGCGTTAACAAGAATCGGGACGTACGTACCGACGGACGGACTTACGTACGGACGATGGTGAATACATAGTCACCCGTTCTGCGCTGCGGCGGGGCACAATTATATTTCCCCAAAATATTGGAAAGCGCACGTACTATCTCCAAAAAGTACAATCAAGTAGACCGATGAGAGCTGTTATGTACACAAACGCACGTGCGTGCTTTTGACCATAGTCCACGTCAGTAGTCCACGTCCATAGCATTACGCTATTAACATATTCACATTCTACAATTCTGACAGCTACGTTCGTTGTACTTTGTACTTAAAATGGCGATATATCTTTTTCATGTTCTTTTAAATAATGATATTATGCACTAAACGATTTTTGTTCTCGGGGTCGTGTTTATCCAAGCACCGCAATCATTACGCGCGTTCTGATTGGTTTGTGGTATGTTCGCACATAACAAGCATGGTGTGTGTGTGTCTGTGTGTCTGTGTCTGTGTGTGTCTGTGTCTGTGTGTGTTTCAGTCATCTTGGAAGTTATGGAAAGGGGCTAATGGTGACGAATGTCATAAATGCCTGTAAATAACGGATTTCCTGAGCCGAATATAATCTAAACACAAAACACGGTCTGTTTGTGAATCACTCTGAAACGACATGGAAACTAATGGAACTGGATCAAACTGACAAACGAAACACAGGAGTGTCTTTGGGGACCTGGCACGCTGGATGAGAAATCCCTAGGCTGCATTAACGTTGCAACACTGAGGTTATTCTCTGCTGATAACACAAGAATGTTGAAACATTACTGCGGAATGTATGTTACCATGTTTCATTTCAAATAGGTCATTCACAAAAAAACGCATCAATGCATCGTGGGTGTGATTGCAACAAATAGAAATCACGTTACGTGAAACTTGGCCTGTAAAGATAACATATTCACTTCTAAACAGATGGCTGTTGGTCACGAGCCACGGTGTATAAAGGCAGGGGTTGGAGGAACTGGGCATTCATTCTTCCACAATGAAGGCTGCGTTTCTGATTCTCCTTGTTTCTGTTCTGCTCATTGGGGCGGCGTTTGTCGGTGAGTTTATTTGTTGAAAATTTATCTCCAGTTATTACTCCTTTAATTTATATAGACTCCATGGGTTTCTGACAAACACATATCTGGATCAGTGTTGACCAGATACACACACATGGCATGTGATATCTTGTGTAATGTGTGTTGATGTACAGACATTAGCTTATAGTGGTGATTGAGTCGTGAAGCATTTGCTCAGTGTGTATACGTCAGTGTTATGGCAGGAATGATAATACTGTTCATTGATTTCAATAAATGATCATTGTTTTGAGTGCTTTGCGATGATTTTAACAAGCACTTTGAAAGGATTACGTGCTTACAGTTTGCACCGAAATACTGCCAAAAACTAAATTAACTAATACTATTTAAAAAAACGAATATGATTGACTCTTTACAGATGTACTTCCATTGTCGTAAATAAAATTAAGGGACAATTTAACCATTACTGCCATGGGTCTTACATCAGTGGCCTTCTTCACGTTTCGTGTGACCTTCCATAAATATAGATTGTTTGCCTTAAAGCTGATGCCCAGTGCGGTGGCAGTTGCCACAACGACCACGACTGTAGCAGTAACTGCAACAGCCATTGTCACAACGGATTCCACTGCAACAGACATCCAGATCAATCCTCTGGGACGTGTTCGTGTAGTTAGTAAGTAGAGCGAGTGCATACATGAATATATGATTTCACTGTTTTAAAGTGGTTCAGATATATGATAAGTATGTCAGAATTTCTAGATTACCATAGTGTACCACTTTTGGGATACCCACGAGCTGAGTATGGAACTGTGTGACCTTTCAAACCAAAGTCCGTTATCTTATAGATATACCTACTGAAGTTCATATCATTAGTACCCGTGAAGGTCCGGGTTAGAATATATATCTTCAGTTACCCATGCTTGCCGTAAGAGGCGACTAACGGGATCGGATGGTCAGGCTCGCTGACTTTGTTGACACATGTCATCGGTTCCCAATTGCCCAGATCGATGCCCATGCTGTTGATCACTGGAGTGTCTGGTCCAGACTGGATTATTTACAGACCGTTGCCATATAGCTGGAATATTGCTGAGTGCGGTGTAAAACTAAACTCACTCACTCACATCATTGGGCATCAGATGTTCATTTGGAGAAAAGTGAAATACGTCATCAGGTTTTGTTGAACACATCAGGAAATGATCACTCCATCTCTTTGGAATTGAATTCCTGGAACTGTTTGTTTCAGATGATGTACCCTGGGAAGAGATGCTGAAAAGGCTGTCACCTTGTACTATGGGTCAATAAATTTCATGAACGAATGTTCTGTGAACGAGTTTTCTATTTAAGTGAGGCATTTGTGTGACTTGTGTGACCATAATAATGAAGGTGGTTTCCTGCCTTTAGAAATAACACCTCTCGGACCACAACGAATGTTCTGTAGTAGTAGTAGCATGAGGTCCGAGGGTCGTGGGCTCGAATCTCGGATTCACCGTATATAATACAGTGTCGAGACAGTACCACCATACCTAAATGCATTATTACCTACATTACACGTTCCAATTACGGTTCGCTAAGGAATTCGCCTGCTGGCAAACATCTTTAACGTAGGGTTCGGATCCGGCTGGCATCACTGTTGTATTTGGTCGCACGAGACATGATAAGACTTCAGTGCTTCTATAAACTATACCCTGCATCACTATCCTTCATCTCCGAGCAATAACTTTTTTTCCAACCAGTGAACAGATGATTAGTGCAATGTTAAAAGTATCACGAAAGTAGTCGTACGTGCATCATATGCAACTCTATTTAATACATCTGTCTTGTGTTGCTTAAAGTTGGTTATATGCAATAAAATTTTATTATTTGTTATGGTTTAAACATATGTTTATTCCCAAAGAACCTAGTTTGGTAAACAAGCAAAGCTTTGTTTTTATCATCTTACATACTCGTCATATTTAGAACCTATACCCATTGATTTTCTTCAATATTAGGTCGCAAAACTGACATAGATGAGAGAGAGAGAGTTGTCTGGTTGGCAATAATATATACTGAACATCATTGAAAACGCACCAGTCTAAAATTGTCCATATTGTCATCAAGATGGATTTCAGCATGACAATGATCAATGAATATAACTAACATGAAGTCCAATTGAAAAAATTCTTTAGAGACAAATTCCTGTCCACAGTATGACTCTTAATTCCAAAATGCATCAACATGCAACACGCCGTGAAAAAAGAGCGAATTTCATTCTGAAATCATACTAACTGTGACATTAAAAGCAGGTGTATGAGAACCGATTCTCATTGCTTCACTAACGATTGTGAAACGAGGACAATCTGCCGAGGCATGATCCAGGCTGGCACCAGCAGCAGGGATATTGCTCGACAACTTGGACTTGGCCACTCCACCATCGTTAGGCTTCATAGACGACATCAGTAGACAGGCAGCACTCGTGACCTTCAATGTCCTTGGCAACAACGTGTTACGACGCTCCATCAGGATCGCCATATTGACCTTGTCCATATCAGTGATTGAACACTGCCGACTGCCAGGACTGTTGCACTAGTTCAAGGTTGACGTGGGGATCATCAGTGCTTACTCCATGCGACGCCGTCTACACGCTACAGGGCTCAATGCTCGACGTCCTTACGTTGGACCAATTCTGACTGACAGACACCATAATGAGCGTATACAATGGGCTAGCAGGCATTTTCAGTAAAGGTTACAACAATGGCATAGTGTGGTAGTCAGTGACAAGTCACGTCTTCGCCTACGTAATGCTGGCGGCCGATGCGGTGTTTGGCGTAGACGTGGTGAACGTTATGCTGATGTGTCTGTGGTTCAGACAGACCTTTGGGTGGTGGGAGTATCATGGTCTAGGGTGGAATAAATTACAATCACAGGACTGCCTTGATGTCTGTCAAGGGAGAGTTAATGCCCTTTATTACCGTGAGCAGATTCTTAAAATCACATCGTATCTGTCTTCAATCACCACCAAGATGTCCATACTTTTCAACAGGAAACCGCACGGGCACACACAACAAGACTTTCCATGCAGTATCTGTCCCAGCAACACATCCAGGTTTTTGTTGGCCAGCACAGTCGCCAGATGTATCCCCCATGGAGCACTTGTGGGACGAAATTGGTCAAAGTCTTTCGCGGCGACAACAGATGCGAAACATCCGGGAACTTGAGGCTACACTACTGCAGAAGTGGAAAGCCATCCTTAAGAACTCTATTCGGACGCTTATTGACTCAATGAGGAGACGTTGTACTTCATGTGTCAATGCAAATGGCGGTCACACGCGATATTGACTTTTCGATTTGACCCCACGTGTGTTTGATCCTTTCTGACTGTGGAACACTTCAATGAATGAGCGTCTTTTCTGTGCTGTTGTTTTTGTCAGTCATCCATCTGTTATTATCCACTCAAAAAATATCAATTCCTTACACGTGCTTTTAATAATCTGAACTTTTTAAGTGGTGCGTTTTCAATGATGTTCAGTATATTATTGTCTTGGGTGTCATTTGTCACAGTGACAATTGTCCGGGTGGCAATAGTCATGGATCCCCCAAATAGTAGTACAGGAGCCTTTTGGAGCGTCCAGCCAGTCAGTCAGATAGAAGATGTCTCAAGGAGGCTTAGGTTCCTATCAGTGTTGAGAAGGAACCATTATCCTGCTTCCAAGCAAATGCCGTAACGCAGGAACTCTTCCCTTTACCTTTCCCAGAGATATGCCAATGGATGTGCTGGTCATGGCATAGGGACATCTGCAATCTGCTGGTGTTATCTAGGTGGAGTGTCCAGAAGAGAGGTATCATTGAGGCAGATGCTTTTTCAAGGGAGGACACATCTGCTGGGTAGCCCCAAGTGTGTCTCTTGTGAAAGTTATTGATCTTCACAATCGTTTGGCAATCGACACAATTTTCTTCAGCTTTTAACTTAGCATTACATTTACTTTGTCTTCTATTATCCCATGTATACGATTACACATCCCCCCTTTCACCCTTTTTCAACTTGATCCAAACATTTTACATGTCTTTGAGGCACCCATGAAGGGCCACCTCCTCGTGGTGGGTGCTGGGTAACGCTAAGCACCCTTCGAACCCCCCGTTGTGGACCCGGGGGGATATTTGGTCCACCAACCCGTTTGCCGTGGGTTGCGCCCCTGTGTCGGTGGAGGAAGGGAGTCTGGTGGTTGAGGGCACTGGGTCCAGGAACAGTGTTCCTTTGCCCAACACACCACTTCGCCCCTTACTTCACCTAGACGGGTGGTTGAATGGGCCCGGTTCAACCAATCGGCTGGTCATGCCGAGCCCTGAGCACTCAATTTCATTGCTCTATCATTTTTTTGGCTTGGTTGTATTTGAACGTAATATTTTACATGATTTGTTTTGTATATATATATATTTGATACTGATACATGGATTTTCAAATTTGCGAAAATTTGCCTAGATGCCTGTGCCAGAAGGCGCTGGCTCATGGGCCAATCTGGTAGACAAATTAATTTTAATTTTTCTGCTGGAGTATATCATCCGGGTATCCCTGGTGCTGCAAGTCGGAGATCCACTTGTTATTAGCACCGTCTTTGCGACGCTCTGTGGTGGGTGGGGAGCTCGGATGATGAACCAATATAAACTAAACATGGAGTACCAAACACCCTCAAAAAGACAAAACGTCCACTCGACATTGATGAGGAACAGCGACCTTGTAATTCTGTTGATTATTGGCCACGATTTTTGATTATGGAAACTCCGGATAAGACTCCCTTGAAATTTAATCCTTTTGCGATTTCTAAAGGTGTCAACGGGATAGCAGGAGAGGTACGAAACATCAAACGCTTGCGTTCAGGATCACTTTTGATTGAATGTAGCAGAAAACAGCAAGCGACCACCCTGCTATCTACGGATATGTTTGTTGGAGTTCCTGTTATAGTCTCTGCCCATAGAACACTAAATACCAGTAAAGGTATAATCAGAGACAAGGATCGACTGTTTGCTGATATGTCTGAATTAGACATTGTTTCTGAAATGAAAGACCAGGGAGTAATATATGTGAAACGGTTTACGACCCGCAGAAACAACGAAACCATTCAAACCAACACATACCTCTTTTCATTCTCTTCCCCAAATCCTCCAAAGTCAGTCAAGGCAGGTTACTGCAATATGTCAGTTGGCATCTATATCCCAAATCCTTTGAGACGTTTTAGATGTCAAAAATATGGCCATGGTGTTAACACCTGTACAAAACCAATAACGTGTGCTCACTGCAGTGAGACTACACATGTTACAGAAGACTGTAATAGTACCCAAAAGAAGTGCACAAACTGTACAGGAAGTCATTCTTCCTTCTCAAAAGACTGCCCAATTTGGAAAAAACAAATGGAAATTTCTAAAATCAAATTTACCCAAAATATTAGCTTCGCTGATGAAAAAAAAAGTGTTGAATCAACAACAGCACCATGTGGTTCGTATGCATCAGTTGCAAGATCATCTTCGGACACAGACCCAAAGGTAAACACCTTATCAGTACCCACCTGTTCAATACATTGTCAAACAGACTTGACGTGGGTAAAAACCACCAAACCTCACTCACTCACACCTGAACAGTCTACTCAGACTTTGACCTCTGGAAATACCGTGGACATCCTGTCTGAAGTTCCATCACAGTCATCTAGTCAGGATTCATCTTTATCCGGGGAAACCTCATCATCTCAGTCAGCCCAACCAACTCGATCGAAAACAAATTCAAAGAACACTGTTCAAAGTTCTCATAAACCAAGAACAGACACAGCGAAAAAAAGTGGCAGACCCCCAAAGGGTTCAGAAAATCCAATCAACATATTCAATAAATACGGATCACTTGAGGACATGGAAGTGTCCGAAAACTCCTACCCCAGGGCACATAGCTCGTCGCCCTCGAAGAAAGTTAGGGGTAGATCCCCTATCAATCCACCTAAAAGATAGGTCATTTTACTGATATTGTGCAGTGGAATTGTAGAGGTCTAAGCACTAATTTTAATGAACTACAGCTATTAGTCCAGGATCTAACACCATCAGCATTCTGTCTGCAAGAAACATATCTTAAACAGACGGATGATTTTACTTTATGCCAGTTTACAGCCTATCATTATTTTTCTCCTCTTGGTGATAGGGCCACTGGAGGATCTTCTATACTTGTACGGCAGGGTGTTATTCACAGTCCTGTTACACTTAAAACTAACCTCCAAGCTGTTGCAGTGCGACTTACTCTGGGTGTAGCATTTACATTATGCTCTGTATATATTCCGCCTTCATGGGCACCTCAGCAGACTGA